ATCTTTATCTCTTACTATCTACTAAGAGTGAGAAACACTAATCGGTTGGTTTTCCTCTTGGATATGCCTGTCCGGTGATGGAACACAACTCTGAACCTAGCTCTACCTCCATTTTTGTTTCCCTGAAAATCTTTCTCCACAAAGTCCCAAGACTGACATAAAATTCAAACCTGTTCAAATTTAACTGATTTAGAAACTCTTCGTTGTTTCTGTGTGGCCAACTGCTAAGAAACGTTAGAATCTCTAGAGCAAGGTAGAAATGCATCTAATTTTGAAAAAGCCTTCTATAGAGAATCAGTTAATGTGGTGCCATTACTGGGATTGTTTTATACATGTTAGTAGTATTAAGAACCATCGTCTCATAAGATAAAATTCCCTTCTTCTACATGTAAGCCTTCAACTAGCTTGACCCTCTTGTCTCACACACACCACTCTTGGCTTCTTTATAATTAGCACCAAATTGCTATACACTTAATATTCTGTGTGTTGTTTTTTCACTAGCCTACATCTTTGTTCTTCCTCATCCCCTATTTGCTTGGTTAACTTTTTGTTTTATAACTTGAATCTCTTACTATCTATTAAATTAAATATCTTATTCCTTGTCTGTGAATTTGAATGTATTCCCCTAAATGACACAATCGTATTCATTTTTAATGTACTACTTAGGGAAATAGGATAAGTTAGGTTTATGGGTAGGGTGCAACTTTCATAACTTGTTTAAGAAGAAGGAAAGATGTGGAAGTAACAGAACTTTTGCTGAATTCATTTTATGAAACAGTGCTTAATGATTATTCATAAATGCTATTTTATTATAAATCTTGACTAATTAAAAATATGAATGAGGAATGATGTACACCTTCAACCTTGTTCCATTTTGCTTTCCTAGGAAGCTATATTTACAGCCTTGATTAAAGAAAATAATCCAGAGGTGAGTTTTGCATTAAGTGCTTTCCTAGACTTGTTTAATTGATAGAAGCCTTGGTTGTTTGTGTTCACTTGCTAGAAATTAAAGGAAACCTTAGCACTAATTTTAAAATTAAATGCTTTTAATCTATGTTATACATTTGATACTTCAGCTGTGTTTTTCTTTTCCTATGCTCTCTCTTAAAAAAAAAAATTACAGGCAAACATAGAAAAAATATACAGTCGGTTTATACATCTTAATAACTTGCCAGAAGCTGGACTTCAGTGTGTACTTTGTGTTGGACTTCAGTTTGGAAAAGTGGATCACCATATATTCTTGAGTAATAAAAACAAGGTAACTAAGTCCCTTCTATTTTTATTTGTATGTGCTCTAAAGAATATAAAACGAAATCCTGTATTATTATGGTCTGCAACTTTTAATTCAGCTTCTGAACTGAAGCACCTATAAGCATTGCTCAGCCTCATAGCAGAATTATGGTAGAAGATTGTATTTTCTTTGGGCTGTGACAAAAAGGAAGATCGTCTTTCTCCTAGAACCTAGTTTTAAGGGGAAATAAAACAAATGAAAGATAATAGTGCAAAGAGCATTAATTTATGGGGAAGTTTTAGACTTGAATTCATCTAGCTTTAACCACCTTTATACCCTGGCTAAGTTGGTTTAAACATTTTATTTGTAAAATGAAAGGGTGTTGCCAGGTATTTTCTAAAGTCCCTTCCAGCCATAAAACACCTAGAGAGTTGGGTCTCTCTGTTTAGTTATATGGAAAGTATAAAATGATCATTCTTTACTTCTATGCTTTGGCTTCTTCCCTTAAAAGACATTAACTTCTTTACATTTGCTATGCCCTCTGTTTAATGTTTAATCCAAATACATGTCCATTACAAGTAGATTTTAATCAACCTTATATTACCAAGAAAATTATAGTTTCATATGAAAGGTGGAAATATTTGCTTTATAAAAAGTAGCTAATTGACCAACAGCTAGTTATTAATTTCTGTGACAAGCTTCTAACTGATACATAGAACATGTTTGGTACTTTAGAAATAGTGATATAGGATGGAAGGGAGATGATAAATGGCATAAGGAATTCTAAATAATTACTTTAGACATTTTTAATTCTCGGTTCTTCCTCATCCACTACTTTGCTTAGTTAACTTTTTGTTTTATAATTTGAATTCTCTTATTAGCTTCCTGCACACACCCTGATCAGGGATCTTATCCAGAATTCAACTAATAGGTGTTGGGACAATGCTCTAACCAACTGAGCCACACTCCTTTTAATTTTGCCTTGACTTTTCAACATTTTAATGTTTTGTTTACTTTGAAATAAGGATTAACTTTACCTTTTAAATTACATGTTTGTAATTTCATGTTTGAAATATGGAAAAACAAAGATTCATACTTTGAAAAATTAAAAAATATTTTATTGTAAAATAACATAAAATTTACTATTTAACTATATTTAAATGTTAGTTCAGTGGCATTAAGCATATTCACATTGTGTAATCATCACCACTATCCATCTTTCCATTAAAGAGTAACTCCACATTCTCACTCTTCCTAGCCCCTGGCAGCCACCATTCTACCATTCTGCTTTTGGTCTCTATGAATTTTACTAGATACCTCATATAAGTGGAATCATACATTATTTGTTCTTTTGTAACTATCTTATTTCACTTAGCATAATGTCTCCCAATATGTCTTGTATCATATATCAGAATTTTCTTTTTAAGGCTGAATAATATTTCATTGTTTGTATATGCCACACTGTGGATGAACACTTGGGTTGCTGTCACCTTTTGTGCACCAGGCCTCATATATATATATATGGCTAATATGCAAAGTGTCCCCTCGGAAGTTCAACTGGGAGACTGAGAATTCGATTGCTTGCTATGAAGTGTGCTGACCACCAGGGTGTGGGGTCGAACAAAGGAAGGCCGCAGCCGGGGAAGCCAGGGAAGGAAAGCCCCATCATCTGCCAGGCCCAGGGACCCTACCCATGCACGAATTTTGTGCACCGGGCCTCTAGTTGTGAATAATGAACATCAATGTCCAAATATTTGTTCAAGTCCCTGCTTTCAATCCTTTTGGGTATATACCAAATAGTGGAACTGCTAGATGATACGGTAATTGTTTGTTAAATGTTTTTAGGAACTATTCTTCCCTTTCTTTATCTTCTCCAAAGGCAATTCTTCAGTTAGATAGTCCTGAATCTGCTCAGTCAATGTACAACTTTCTGAAACAAAATCCACAGAACATAGGTGACTGTATATTGACCTGTACATTATCTCCAAAAGTGGACTCATTAGAGGTAAGATTTTTTTTTTAAATCAACTTTTGTGCTTTTAGAATATAACAAAAGCATAAAGGTCATTCTCCCAAAGCTAGGTGATATACACTGAAGGTAATTTCAAGGATGATGTTCTTGGCCAGTAATCAAACTGGTTTTGCATTTTAGATTCTTTCATTTAAAAATTTGTTTTGCAATCACTGACAATTTTTATATTATGGAGCAGTATAAATTTGAGAATAAATTGAGGTAATTTTGGAAAGTTAGCATAAAACTTATTTTGGCTTTGCCCTAGTATAAAGAAGTTCTTTTATTCTTTTATTTATTTAAATTTTATTTATTATAAACTTTCTTCTTGTATAAGAAATAAGATTTTACAGGTTCTTGGCTTATGCACTAATAATACATGTATGAACATTACAAATAGTCCACCTTTGAAATTCAAATTCATGTTTTCTAACAGTTTCATTGTATGTGTATCAGTAGCAGTGGGTAAACATTAGGGCTTATATTTGGTGACTGAATGTTTTTTGTTTGTTAAATATACCAAAAATCTTGTGTAGCTCAAGAAAATGAAAATTCATATTAAAACCAAATTAAATAGAGCACCTATAAGTAATTGCATCATGATAGGTACTGACCAAGCACAAATTGAAGGAGTTGTTTAACCTGATTATTTCAGGTAAAAATTTGGAAATTTTAGTCCTTGTTTCTCAACAGAACATTGTGTTTTTAAATTTATTTTTACGCATTTTATAGTTATTGCTTTGTTCAACTAAGTTCAGTAATTACATAAAACCTCTGCCTACATTGCTACTTTACTTCCTGAACCCTTACTCATAACCTTATTCTGACATTTTAGTAGATTGGAGATCCCATTTGGCTTTTGTAAAAAAATCTTAGCTACATCACTAATAAGTTAGCCTTTGCCATATTGGATGGTAGAGGCAGGTAGACTTCAAGATATTGTAATTCTCTATAATAATAAAAGCATTAATACGCTAATTAGAACAAACGTCCTTCTTAGACAAAGCCCTTCTTAGACAAAGCCGTGGTATCAGGGGCTGTGGTGGTGGGGACCAAGCCCCTTGCAGGAATATCATGCATTGGGCCTCTAGTATAAGAAGGAAAGCCCTAAGCTAGGGATTAGACTATGAGATTAAAATGATTCCTGTACCCATAGTTTTTAAATAATAGTTTTTAATTTATGTTGTAGAATTGTGCACTGGAAACCTGTATATTATTGTTGACAAGTGTCACTCAATTAACTAAAAGGAAATAAAATAAAGGGAATATATTTTTGCTTGTTTTGTTTACTCAGTGTAGTATTTCCTAAGTGCCTAGCCCAGTGATTGGTAGGTAGACACTGAATTTTAATTCCTGCTTCCATTTTGGGCCCCAAACATTGCTTTCTTTGTGGTTCAGACACGTTTAAATATTATTAGTATTGTTAAATTTTGTCCAACTTTTCTAGGTGTTTTGAATAGCAGACTTTTTCAAGTCAACTAATTTCCCTTATGAATAGAAGTTTTTTTCAGTAACATTCGCACATTGAAGATGTTGATATTTGAGATTGATTGTTTTTATTCTTAGTTAAAGTTGTTATTTTCAGGCTTTTAAAGTTAAAAATTTATTTCCTATTTATGTCAACACTAAAGAAACTTACTTTTCTCATTAGTTGCTATGTGTTAGTTTTCCTCTATAACCTAACCTTAATAAAAGTAAGTTCTAGAACCTGATAGTTAAGTGGTCACTGAAATTTAACATTTACTTTAATATATTTTAAGTGATTTGTTTTTGTTTTATTTTTTTGCTTAGATTTTAAGAATTGAAATCATTGCATTGATGGGTTAAATATTTAAAGTTCAGTAGAATAGGCTCTACTAAAATGTGGAATTATGTTACAGGCTCAAGCTGAGAAAAACCAAGAACTAGGAAAGGAAAGGTATGTGATTTAAGTTTACTAACATTTTCATCTAGTATTTAGTTAATTACTGCATTTCATTTCTATATTTTGTAGAAATTGTTCACCTGTACAAAAATACTCTTATTTTACATGTTCATTTTGTATATATATAAGTGTTGTGATTTTTTCTTTTGGCTTTGTTGACCAGTGGGGCAATTTTTATTTTTGTTTTTTTGTCTCGGTGTTTATAGATTTCTGTTTAGAAAAACTTATAAACACAGTTTGAGTTAAATATGACTTCTTTATTAAATGTTTTGCTAAGATTCTTAAACAACTCAACTCTGTGATTAGTTTTATATTCTTCATGTTAGATTTTCTTTTGCAATATAGTTACAATGGTAAAACTTTAATCTTTTTGCATAATTTAAAAAAAAATTAGATTTAAAACCAAAACAGTAATGTTCAGTGTGTATTTTGATACTTTTTAAAAACAACTGGGGTATGGAAAAGGATATTTGTAAAACAGTAATGTGTATGCTGCTTTATATTTTCAGAGGATGAAAGTTTGTTCCTCAGAATCTACGCTAAGTAGTGACTTTGTTTTGACCACATTGTCTTTTTAGTCATTCTCTAATCCTGATGAATCCACTCATATACCACCTTTGCCCCACCAATGAATAACCTCCCTATTACTACTTTTCATTGGGATTTACTGATTTAAACTCTTTATTCTTTCCTTATACCCTTATTTGTTGGAATTAATGTAGTAAGAGCTTTTAAGTATTAAAGAGCATTTTGAAAGTGTTTAAAATGTGGAGAGTTTATTTGATGAACTAATTTTAAGATGCCTGAAGAACAGAAAAATAGGAAGTTTTACTGATTTTTCTCCTCAGTAATTAATATTTATAAAGGAGTCTTTTAAATGATAAAGATGATTATGAGTACATTAAAATATGTTGGTGACTTGAAGCAATAAATTTGATGTATGTGTCAGCACAGACTTCCAGTTGTACATCATACCAATTATATTTATATGACTAAGAAGTAATACCAAAAACAATGTTTGATATAAAAACCCATGAATGGCTTAATAAAGTAAGAATGCCACATGTAGTAGTAAAGATAGACCTATAGTTTGGCCACAGTAACTCTGTCTGGTAAGTAAAGTATGTTCTTTGAAAATCCTGTTTTAAATATTTCATCTGACAAAATTTCTTTCAGGTCTTCAGGAATAGGTTTCATCTGTGTTTTGGTCATTTTTTTCCTCTCTTGTTTTGATTTTTAAAAATCATATATATTAATGAATTTAGAGATTATTATCTAATCTTAAAAATCAATTAAAAAATTCTAGCACTAATAACTTTTTAATTCCCATTTTGCGATCAGTTTTTTTTTTCTCTGACTTATGTGACATTAGAGAAAAAGATGTGAGTTGTAGCCCAAATACTTCACATTTGTTTATTGGAGTTAACCGATTATGAGAAAATATGGGTGCTTATTTTTGCCTGCTTTTTGATAGTTCAAGTATTTAAATGTATTTCCTACTGAATGGAAATCTCACGTGGATATATTAATAATTCAATAATAACTCTACATTTTGCCTGTTCTCATCTTCCCCCACATAACATCATTTATCATGTGACTAAGGCTCAAAATAAATATACAAGATAAGATTTTCACCAGTTCATTCATAATGTTGGGAAGTAGCCAGTGACCTTCTGAAATAAATGCTAATCTTCAGTATTGTTAAGACTCAGTCTAAAGTTTCTTGTAAATTGTATGGTATCGTGTTACCATTTGTTTTCATGCCCAGCTTTTATTGTATGTCTTTTCTGAAGATTTGACACTCGTGTGTTATAGGGAGTGGGGAGGTGGGACAAAGGGTGGGAAATTAATGTATCCCAAATGCCTTCCTGGGATCAGTTTTTTGTGCCATTTCCCAGAATATGATTGTTTTCCTTTGTTCTTCTGAAAGACTGATTATTTGACTTCTGATGTTAATAATTACATGCATTTGACATTTCAAAATGACTTTCTAAGCTAACTGGATGAATTTTTAGGTCTGTACCCATATTAGCCAAAAAACTAGATATTGGTAAATGAATTCTTTGAAGAAAGCACTGTAATTTAAAACAAAACAAAACAAAAAAACCCACACATGGCACAAGAACAAATAATGGAATTGAGCCATTTTCCAAGTAGGTCTGTGCTCTTTGTTTGAAATATGGAACTGCTGCATTGTGATTCATTTTACAGAAAAGATAATAGCTTTTTTTAAAAATTGACAAACGGTAAATATGGCAAAGGGGAAGGACTTGCTGTATTCTAGAGCCAGGAATCAAAATCCCCATTGCTTGTCTTCTAGACCAGAAGATTGGTGTTTTTGTAATAGCCTTAATTTGTAAAGGCTTTAGAGTTAAATCACTGTTCTGTAATGAGGCAGGAACTTGAATTTAATTCTTATCATTGAAAATGAGTCTTGTGATTTAAAAACAAAAAGTTTATATTGTATATTTCAGAAATCATTTATGTAACTGCTCTAACTGAATGACACAACTTTTTCTTGTTTTTGTGATATTTGTGCTTGACCACAAGTTTTATTTTGACTAGTCCTCAGAATTTGGAACACTTAAAATCACCCATTAGCGTTTTTTAATATAAGGGATGTGAATTATTTAAAATAACATTTAAATTCTTTTAGCGTGCAAAGGGTAGTTTATAGCTTATATAAATGAATAAGATATATGTATTGATTAAGGTCTGTTGTTACTGGCGCTTTAACTTAAATTCCTCAGCCTTTTTGCCTTTACACTTTTTATCAAGAGGTATTTTTCTGAACTCTTAAAAAAAAACTTTTCTCCTTTGGAAGTTTAAACTTACCAACTTTAGGGAGAGGACTAGTTTATTGGCTCCCAATTATTAGAACCTTATGTGATAGCACTTTTTTCCAAACTTCTAAAAAATTATTAACGTGTCAGGACAGATACATATTATCTTGTGCTCAATAAAGATATATGAACACCTCTTACGAAGCATATCATAAGGGGTGTCTCATCACCTTCTGTTTCTTAAAGTAGGGGGAAATGTAAATACTCTTTACTATGAGGTATTGATGTGCACGATCACTTTCTGTCTGGTGTCTTCCTCCAACCTGCTGCTTCTGATGTAATTAAGTGAATGTATTTGTTGCACTTTAATTTGTGTTGATAACATGCTGGACACTATCTTCAGAAGCTTGGATTTTCCTTGTTACCCTTCAAGATTCATCTGATCTTTGGAGCATTGATAATAGTTTATTCTGTCTCTGTCTCGATGAAAGTAGTTTAATTACAGAATTACACTTTTTCTTACTTTTCATTTGGAAAGACCACGATTAAATAACATCAACTACATATATTTCCTCCATTCTGAATAATTTTACTTACATTTTTTTAATTATGTATTGGAATTGTATATTATTCTCTATAACTGGAAATATTTCTCTTAACATATTTCTTCTCATAATATAGCCAAAGGTACATATTTTATAAGACTTCATATTTATGTTAGGGTGATACTACTATCAGTTTCATCTTTAACTTTATTTATTTATTTTTTAATATATTGTATTGATTTTTTTTTTGCCCCCTTGTCTCCCTCCCATACATACCCTCTCTCCCCAGTTTTATGTCCATTGGTTGTACTTATATGCATGTATTCAAGTCCTTCGGTTGATCTATTATCTCCCCCAGATCTTCCTCCCCTCCCCACTGTAGTTTGACAGTCTGCCTGTTGCTTTACTTTCTCTGTATCTGTCTCTTGGTTCATCAGTTTATAATCATCTTTAACTTTAAATATCCAACAGGGTATTAAAATTTCCAAGGAATGTTTTGAGTATTATTAATAAATACATTTCTTGGGAAATTAAAAACAAATCTGTTTCATTCCCCCCAAAAAGAAAGAGGTGACTTACCATCAGTTTCTGTTTATGTTGTTCCTTTTAGGTGAGATTTCAGATTTCAATGCGTAGATTATTAATTTTATTGTAGAGCTATATATATATTATTTCAGTTACCACTGTTTGAAAGATGGGACCGAATAATAAGATGCAAATTTAAGACAGTAGGAAAAAATTTATTTTAATTTAAATGAGTACAAGGATCCTAACAATGGTAATAATTTTGCCATTTCCTTTGAACTAAAAAGAAATCTTCAGTGCACTGAAGGATCTCTTTAAAATTTTTGTATTGTTTACATATTTACATCAATACATCTTAACCATTTTAATGCCGATTGGCTGGATTTCCCTATGCTAATTATTAATGCATCAGGAAGTCTTAACAATTGGCATCAACAGGATTATTTATGATGGTTGAATTCTCATCATAGTTTGATTTTTGTTTGTGTTTTTGTTTGTGTTCTTTTTTGTTTGTTTTTAAATACTTTTAGCCCTGACTTGAAAAACAATCCAGTTGGTGAAAGTGAGGCGCAAACAGCAGCTGATAGTGCCTCTGTTAAACCTAGTGAGGTTGAAGCAGCAGCTATTCCCAGCATTCAAAACGAAACTTCCGTACAGCAGGAAGAGTTTTGTGAGGAAGAACCTGACAAAATACTATGTGACTCTGACTTTGCTGTTGAAACCTTGGAAATTGAAACTCAAGGAGAGGAGGACAAAGTGGAAATTCCTCTTGAAGAATCCATTCCAACCAGTATTGAATTATCCACCGAAAATGTGGAGGAGTCCATTTTAAATCAGCAGGTGTATACCAGTGACCTTGGGACGGAAGAGGCAGAAATTAATTCTGAAACAGAATTAGCAACATCCGACAGTGCATTTATAGAAGAAAGGAACATCCGAGGAATTCTAGAAGAATCTCCATCTGAAGCAGAAGACTACTTTTCTGGGATTACACAGGCTATGATAGAAGCTATAGCTGAAGTGGACAAACATGAAACTGTTTCAGAAATAGTACCATCTACTTCTGCTGTGACCCTGGTACCAGGAATTTCCACTGGGGATGAGAAGACAATGAGCAAAAAGGGAATTTCTGAAAAAAGTGGCATGGATGAACAGGAGGAGAATGAATTTAATACTAAGGAATCCAAAATGGATCTGCAAATAGGAACAGAGAAGGCTGAAAAGAATGATGCTAGGATGGATGCAGAGAAGGTGGCAAAGATTGTGGTACCAATGAAAGAAAAGCCTGCAGAAAACACTGGGATCAAGGCATGCCCAAATAAAGGAGTGTGCCAGGCCAGTAAGCCTGATGAAACTAGTAAAACTAGTATGCTGGCTACATCAAATGCACCTAGCAGTAAATCAAGCATCAAGGCTGGTATGGTCTCTTCTCCAAAGGCAAAACCTACAGTTTCAAAATCTGAAAACCAGAAAAGTTTACTAAAATCTGTACTCAGAGATCAAATAAATGCTGAAAAGAAACTTTCTGCCAAGGAATTAGGTCTTAAACCTGCAAGTGCCAGGTTGGCTGAAAGCAGCAGTAAAATCAAATCCACTCAGAGCGGTATTACCAGAGGAGGCAGTGGAAGGATCTCGGCCCTGCAAGACAAGGACTCTAAACTGGATTACAGGGATATTACAAAACAATCTCAGGAAACAGAGGCTAGACCTTCCGTCATGAAACGGGATGACAGCAACAATAAGGTGAGGAGGGTAGGAAGAATGGCTCAGTGTGTTTGAAGTGATTAGCTCTCCTGTTGTAGCTTTGGAGTAGGAGATGTAATCTTGTTTTATATTCTCATCTCCTCACTTTGCTCCCAAGCTTCCATGTCCCTTCTGGTTCCATTGGTCTAAGCTGATAGACACTTAGAATAATAAGCTCAAGTTCGTAATTATTAATAGGTTTGGAAACCATTATTTGGATAAAATGTGGTCAGAAACTTAACTTTGTGGTTTAAAAATAAAGTCTGCAGTGAGTCTCCTGAAGTGACTTACTACTCTGCTTCTGAATGGGAAACTTTTCTTTTTGAAATTGAAGCTTTATCAGCTTACTGATTGCCCAACTTAGACATTGTTGGAAAAGGTCAGTAAAACTGAATTTACCTACAACTTCTAGATTATGTCTTTACTGTTATTAACCGGTGACTTAGTTTGGAATACCTGGTAAATATTGGCATAAATGAATGTGTTTGGATAATGTTTGTTGTTTGAATTCTCTTTCTAAAGAACACTAATAACCTAGTTGTAAATTCTTTTTTTTTTTTCTTCTATATTTTTTACTTAATATTTCAGACTTTGGTTGGGCAAAACACTAAGAACCCTAAAAGTACCACTGGTAGAAGTTCCAAATCTGAAGAGGTGAGAAATAGTTTATTAAAACAAACCCTTCTGTTCTCTCGATAAAAAGGATAGGAATGAAATGTTTTCTTTTCTTTGGACCATATTACCAATTTGTTTTTTACCTTGAACTAGGCTAGTTTGAGGTTGTTTTTTTGATTTGTTTGTTTGTTTGTTTAAACTATTACAAGTAGTAGTACACATGTATCCTTTTTTCCCCATTGACCTCCCCCCTGCCTCTCCTATCTCCTGGCACATGCCCTCCCCGCTCCCACGCTTACCCCTCTCCAGTAGTGTCTGTGTCCGTTGATTATACTTATTTATATGCATGCATACAAGTCCTTAGTTTGTGTTCTTGATGCAGGGCAAAAGTTAACCCAGGGACAGAAAGAGAATTAGGGTAGGAAAAAGCCTTTAATCTCATATTGATAAGAATAGGTTATAAACACAGAATAAAATGACATGTGAAAAGGAGACTGGCACCCAACTAGAGTCTTCCCCTTATTTTGCGACACTTCCAAAAAGGTAGTCATTTTGATAAATGGATGGGCTCTATGATTTATTTTTCTGATACTTGGTTGCACTGCCAAACATACAGATACATTTCATGTTTGTTTGCTATTTTAGGATTCCACCGTTCATACATTTTTTTTCCTAATCTTTTTATTTACTTACTCTGGTAGGGGAAGAATTTGAGTCTGTTTTATTGGGGAAAGGGAATATGTTAGTTTAAGAAACAGAAATAAGGATATGGTTATTCCATTGACTTAATAAGATGATAATACAATTGCTTACAGATTCCTTCCTCACCAAATTACTGGGTATATATTCAAACGTCATTATTATATGTACTAATAATTGATCATTGATAACAAACTAAATGTTATAGGACAGTGGTCGGCAAACCGCTGCCTGAAGCCACATGTGACTCTGGCCCCTGGAGTGTGGCTCTTCCACAAAATACCACGTGCTGACTCGCACGTACGGTGCGATTGAAACTTCGTGGCTCACTCGCAGAGGTCGGTTTTTGTCCTGGGCTAGTCTGTTTTGAAGAAGTGGCGTTAGAACACTCAAGGGGCCAAAGAGCCGCATGTGGCTCACAAGCTGCGGTTTGCCAACCACTGTTGTAGGAAAAGCCTGCTGGGAATTTATTTTCTTTACTATTGGCATTATTTAAGTCCAGTAATACTTGCCACTATGTCTTAGTAATTTTCCATATAACTTTATCAATATGTTAACTTTATATTTCAGTGTTGCATATCTTACAATATATATTACATATGAACTGGTCAATGGAACCATCTTGATAGCTATTTACTTTCTAGCTTCATTGTGATATTTAACATATGAAACAGTCAATTCTTTATATTAGATTGTTTGATAAATGTTTTTGTAGTATTTTTGTGCATCATTTTAAAACTTGTACATTATTTAGGAATTAATTATAGTGTTATTGAAATTAAGTGAAGGTGGGATTAGATTATTACTGGGGTTTTACCCTTGGCATTGTTTAATTTGTGAATCACAGCTAACTCATTTGGCAGACTTTTAAAAATAACAAATTTCAACCTTTTGTTAACTTGTCACTGAAATTCTCACAAATTATATTTCATGCAAATTTACTGGGACTATTTGAAATGTAGTCAGTTTATTAGTTATTCACAATTCTTTGATTTTTTTTTTCTTAACCTTTCAAACAGGAACTATTATATCCATTTAATTTGGATGAATTTGTTACTGTGGATGAGGTTATAGAAGAAGTGAATCCTTCGCAAGCCAAACAGAATCCACTAAAGGGAAAAAGGAAAGAAGCCCTCAAAAATATTCCTTCCTCTGAACTTAATGTAAAGAAGAAGAAAGGGAAAACTTCTGCCCCTCATGTTGTCGAGGGACAATTATCTTTTGTAACATTGGATGAGATTGGGGAAGAGGAAGATGCATCTGCACACCTGGCACAAGCTCTAGTCACTGTAGATGAAGTTATTGATGAAGAAGAAGTAAATATGGAAGAAATGGTAAAAAATTCAAATTCACTTCTTACATTAGATGAGTTAATTGATCAAGATGAGTGCATATCCCACAGTGAACCTAAAGATGTTACAATACTGTCGGTGGCTGAAGAACAAGATCTTCTCAAACAGGAATGCTTGGTAACTGTGGATGAAATTGGAGAAGTAGAGGAGCTACCTTTAAATGAATCAGCAGACTTAAATTTTGCCACTTTAAATACTAAAGGAAATGAGGGAAATACTGGAAGTGATCCCATTGGCTTCATTTCTTCCCAGATGCCTGAAGACCCTGCTACTTTGGTTACTGTAGATGAAATTCAGGATGACAGTAGTGATCTGCACTTAGTGACTTTGGATGAAGTAAATGAAGAGGATGAAGACTTTGTGGCAGATTTTGATAACCTTAAAGAAGAGCTTAATTTTGTTACTGTTGATGAAGTTGGAGAAGAGGAAGATGGAGATGATTTAAAAGATGTATTAGCACAAAGCAAAAATGACCATCCCACAGATAAAAGGGGCGATAGGAGAAAGAGAGCTGTGGACACAAGGAAGACAAAACTTGAAGCCTTGTGCCAAGTGGGTCCAATAAATGTGAATGTTATGGAAGAAGATCTGAACACCATGATTGAGAGGCACTTAGAAGGTAGATACTTAGACGCGGTTGTTTTTCTGTTTCATGAGGGTTTTACATTAAAAAAAATTTTTTTTAATATGTTGCAGTATTTCTAATACTTTTACTCTGTTTTGAAAAGAGAAGCCAACAAATAGTTATAGCCAAGGAAATGTATAGAGCTTTCACAGATTTTTCTTACAGAGTAGCCCTCGCCCCACGTTATTATACCTCAAGAAAAGATACCAAAACCAAAAAGCAAACTAGAGTACCAATATTATAATTGGAATGAAATGGTATATTTGCATTTTGTGGAATACCAGCTTTGGTAAATAGAAGGTTGTTTATACTAGACCCTTGTACTTTTGGATTTAGAAGAATCCAAGAAGGTACCATTTCACTGAAGTAATATTTTGAGGGTATATGACAATAGGTCAACTCACTTTCAGGACTTGAGGGAGATCAAAATAATATCAAACAAGGAAATCCTGAAAGAGTTATCCATATTAAGAAGAAAAAAATACTAGGAAGGTCTCACAGGTTTGTGGAACAAAATAAAGTATGTATAGGCTTCTTAGGGAACAGAGGTAGGAAGGTATAGTTTGGAACAAGATAAACCAGAAAATAAAAGAAGACTGTTTAGACTAATGCTGAGTGTTTTTAAATAAAATGTTCTTATTTTATATTAGAAATGAGCTTCCTTCCCAAATTTGAGTATTATCTTGTTTGCAAAAAAGGTGTTAAAATTGTTACTTAGAATTAAAAGCAATTTAAATATTGTTATTGTAAATAATAGACTTCTTTTCTTTTTTTTCTTTTTTTTTAAGCTAAAATGCCAACCAAGAGAGTTAGAATTGGGACAACTCCACCATTGGAAAACACAGTTGAGACAGAACCAGAGCAAGATGAAGAGGAGGCCTACCAAATTAGTGAAGGTAAAGCAGGATTGATGGAAGGGGGACAAGAGAGTAACACAGCACGGGGTCTTAGATCTACCACTGCAGAAGAAAAGTAGAAAAACAGTGAAATAGCTTGTTGGGGGGCAGGAGGCATAGCCTTATAATTATTAGATCTGAATAAAGATTGTTTTACTTTTGTAATTTAGAGAGGTAAGTGGAATATAATGAAATGGGATTATAGAATAGTAGGCAATCCTATTATAATAGAATGTGACAAATTTATAAAAGTGATCCCTGAAAGGGGTTATTCTGATCATGTTGCAGTATCAAGTGGAAATCATTTATTAACTAGCTCTTACTTGTAGATCAGACTTGTTGCTTTGTGGATGCTGCCAAGCAACCAGCCAGTGAATTCAGATGTCTTAATAACATTAATAAAACTGTGTTGAACAAATAGGGAACATTGTCTAAGTGTAACAGAGTTCTCTAGACATGAAACAAGTATTTGTCATTGTGTCTCTTATGATCGTAGCAAAATGCTAAAAAGGGTAGGGGGGAAAAAAAGCATACCATTCCAGATCTCAAGTTTATTGATTCAGAGAGGTAAAGCAAAATATCAACTACCAAGTGACTTAAATAGCCATTGCAACATCCTCTTTATAGCACCCTTCTTCCCATCTTGCTTTCCTATATTCTCTAAGGAAAAACTGTGATCAGTCCAAGTTCATTGAATCTGATCTTAGTTGGCCCTTCAGTGCTGCTCCATAATCTATAGGCCTCCTTCCTTTCCCATTTTTTCTTACCAGTTGTCATGTAAACCTTTTCTCCCCTCTGCATCGTCTAGTCCATTTCTCACTGTATAGTCTTGCTTTCATTTCTATTTACCAGAGCAAATATACGATCTCCTCTTTCTGCCATCTTGTGTTTTACCTACATTGGCTCCTCACACTTAAAATACGCCTAAGACTTTCCCCTTTAAAAAACCATGCCCTTCACTTTGGAATCCTAGCTGCCACCTTATCTCCTTTCTTTTAAAGCAAAGCATTTAGAAAAAATATCCACTATTCTTCATTTCCTAACAAACTGGATATATTTTGGCTTCTTTTGTAACCACCTTCCTGAATTGGTATTGATAATCTCCATTGGGTTGTTGTGAAAGTTGGTTGTTTTTTTCCTTCTCAATTTGGTTTTATTTTACTTCTCTGCATCATTTGTTACTACTGATCATGCCCACTTTCTTGAAGCTCTCTCCCAACTGTTACTCCTCTGTCTGTCTCTTCTGTATAACCTCTCCTTGATACCAAGCCGTAGTTAGTGGCTTAGTTGAAGAATGAAGAATAGAGAAAGGATGATTGATTTACTGCTTCTGTAACAACATATTTTCATTAATGCAGAGATAATTTGTTTGGTAATATGTTTTCTAGCTTAAGACTTCATTTTTAAAACTTAAATATTTGTTTTAATTTATTTAAGTTATTATATAATTATTATTATGAGATAAATGTCTTTAGAGCTTCAGGAGCAAAATGTGTTTGAAAAAGTTTTTTCCTTTGATAAGGGAATAAACTTTTGTTGGAAGATACTGGAGGCTATTTTAACTATCAAGTCAAGAAATGAAATACAGTCTTTTATTGATTCTTTAGGATTTGATAACCAGTAAACTGCAATGAATAAGAGAAAAATGAAAAATGCTATCATAATTCCTAGCGGTCTCCTCAGATTTAGTAAAAGTAGTCCAGTTTCCTGGAGAGAGCACTGAACTTGAATTCACAAGTCTTGGCTCTAGCCTCTGTCACTTAACCTTGGGCATGTCAGTTTCTCCATCTATGAAGAAATAGGGATACTAATAATGGTTTGACTGGCCTCTCTTCACATGAGATAAATGCTAAATGAATGATGTGTATATGAAAGGGATTTGTCAAGTGCTATGCAACAGTGTAAAGTATTTCAGCTACTGAGGGTAGTAAATAAGATTGCTTGGAACCAGTTCTGTCTTTGTCTTCCCCCAAGGTCATATTACGCAGTGTCTGCTGACATGAAGTGCTTCTTACATATTATTTATTCTGCTGGGCTTTAACATTTGAATTTTCACTTGTGATTCTAACAAGGGTCTTAGTCTGTCAGTTTTGGCTCATTTCGGTTAATTTTGTTTTTCATTTGTTTGTTTGCTTGTTTGTTTGATGGTCGGAAGGGCCTCAGTACAGAGCATCAAAATTATTCTCTGCTCATGTCCTTTTCCCCTTAATCCACACTCTTTCCCCCAATCCAACACTTTGCATACACATGGTGACTCATGACACTTTATTGAACTTCTTCCATTACCCTTTATTTATTTATTTATTTATTTATTTATTAATCTTTATTGTTCAAATTATTACAAAGGTTCCTCATTTCTTTCCCCCTCCACCAGGTTCCCACACCACCCTCTCAACCTCTGCCCTATCCTCACCCCCACATTGTCCTCATCCATAGGTGCACAGTTTTTTTTTTTTTTTTTTTTTTTTTAATAAGTTTTTATTGTTCATATTATTACAAATGTTCCTTCCCCCCCCCCCCCCCCACCATTGCTCTCCTCCACCAGGTTCCCACCCTGCCCTCTGCCCTTTCCCCTCTCCCCATTGTCCTCATCCATAGGTGCACAGTTTATGTTCAGTCTCTTCCCACGCCCCCCTCTCCCCTTTACCCCAAGAATCGTCAGTTCACTCCCCTTCCATACCTCTGATTCTATTATATTCAACAGTTAATATTGTTCATCAGATTTTTTTAATTTCCTTGGTTTTTAGATTCACTTGTTGATAGTTATGTATTTGTTGTTCATAATTTTTATCTTTGTTTACTTTCTCTTCTGAAAGAACCCCCTTCAGCAATTCATATAATTCTGGTTTGGTGGTGATGAACTCCTTTAGCTTTTTTTTATTAGTGAAGCTCTTTATCTGGCCTTCGATTCTGAGTGATAGCTTTGCTGGGTAGATTATTTTTGGCTGTAGGTTCTTGCTATTCATCACCTTGAATATTTCTTGCCATTCCCTTCTGGCCTGCATGGTTTCTGTTGAGAAGTCAGCTGACAATCGTATAGGTGCTCCTTTGTAGGTTACTACCTTCTTTGCTCTTGCTTCTTTTAATATTCTCTCTTTGTCTTTTGCTCTTGGAATTTTAATAATGATGTGTCTCGGTGTGGTCCTCTTTGGATTCCTTTTGTTTGGAGTTCTGTGCGCTTCCTGGACTTGTAAGTCTAATTCTTTCACCAGGTAGGGGAAGTTTTCTGTCACTATTTCTTTCAGTATGTTTTTGATATCTTGCTCTCTCTCATCTTCTGGGACCCCCATAATTCTGATGTTGGTTCGCTTGAAGTTGTCCCAGAGGTTTCTTACATTATCTTCAATTTTCTGGATTCTCTTGCCTTCTAGCTTCTGTGGAGGAGTGTCTTCTGGCTCTTTATGTTCCAAATCTTTGACTTGATTCTTGCGATCTTCCCTTCTGTTTTTAGGACTCAGTAAAATATTTTTTATTTCAGACAATGTATTCTTTATTTCTTGTTGATCCCTTATCATTTCTTGTTGACTCCTTATTAATTCTAGTTGATCTCTTTTCATATCCTCGTAGGCCTTATCCATCTTTTCTAGGAAATTCTTGAAAAACCTTGTAAGCGTAGATTTGAACTCTATATCCAGACGCTTTTTGTCCTCCATTTCTTTCTTTTGTGATCTATTTTGTTGTCGCATTTCGCAGTTACAGATGGGACGGGGTTTCAGGGTGGAGCCTGCAGCTTTGGCTTCCGTCAGCCCCGCCCTATGCGGGTCCTTCAGTGCTCGCTGCTGCCGGCGCCTCTGAGAGAAAGGTGCCCTCGATTTTCGCCTGCTGCCAAACAGTCTATGCTCTCCCCCAATGAGCCTGGTATTGGGGTTCAGTTCAGTTGGAAGTGGAGTTGGAGGTGGCGTTCAGAGCAGACTGGAGCCCAGGTCTCCTTCCCGTCAGGGCAATCTCGCGGCACAGCTGACCGTCCCTTCTCTGCGCGCAGTGTGCGCGCCGCCGGGACCTCCTTTCGCCTCTCCCCGGGGTTCCGCCTTACAGCCTGGCTCCCTATGGCTGAGCCTGAGTCCCCGGGGTCTGGCCCAGAACCGGGTTCAGAGCAGTTGGGGGCCCAGCACAGTCGGAGCTTTTCTCTCCTTTCCGCTCAGGAACGCCCGCCAGGCACTCGGCCTCCCTCCTCTCCGGCTCCGTCCTCTCCGCGCGCCGCGTCTCCGTACCTTGGGCTTTTCCAGCTCCTCCACGCCTCCTTCTGGTTTTCTCCTTGCTTCTCGCTGTAGAATTTCCAGTCAGTCAACCTTCCTGTAGTTCTGGGCAATGTCCGTTTTATATTTTAGTTGTATTTTATTGAAATTGTTGTGTGCGGCTGCGGCTAGGTGTTCACCTGGGCGCAGCCATCTTGGATCCTCCATAGGTGCACAGTTTATGTTCAGTCTCTTCCTGCATCCACCACTCCCCTTTTCCCCGAGAATTGTCAGTCCACTCCCCTCCCTTATCTCTGATTCTATTATATTCAACAGTTAATATTGTTCATCAGTTCTTTTAATTTCCTTTTTTTTGTTTGTTTGTTTTTTGTGTGTTTTTTTAATTAATAAACTTTTATATTTTTAAGAATAAATTTTGAAATCTAATAATTTTAAACCTTGTTTTCAACCACGCTCATGATCTTGGCATTCTCTGGTGACTTATTGGTTCACGGGTCAATACTCAACCGTTGTGCCCCACTAGCCGTGCTAGTTCATTTCCTTTAAATTCACTTAATTCACTTAAAATCTTATAGATTAAAATCTAAATAGATTACCTATTTAGTCCTCACATCAAAGAATCTTGGAAGAGTGGTCAGGTAGGATTAAACAAGATGAGCCATCAATTAATCTTTGAAGGAAGGGATTATCTAATGTAAGCTTTACAAAATCTGTAAATTTATTTTAAATAACCTTTTTTTTTCTTTAAAAATTTTAATGACTGTAGTTGATGAAGAATCTGACTTTAAGGATTCAGAACCAGAACGAAAACGCAAGAAGATTGAGGACTCTTCTTTAGGGACACCAGAGGCAGCTGATGTTTCTGAAGGTAAAGTAACAATGACACTTTTTTCCTAACCCATGAGAAATAAAATTCAGTGCCATAATGAAGGTTTTGTTGGTTAGATAAATAACAATAACTCATTCAATAGATGATTATTTTAAAGTGGAAATTAGCAAGTTTTGCACATTGACATTTCTGTAAAGTTTATTACACTGTTTTCACCTAGGAAGGAATTTTATTGATTGCACTCTTGAAGTCTAGGATATTTCTCCTTTTATTTCTGGCACTTTGTTTACTGCTCTGGCAAGAATTGAATTAGTACTTGCCCAGGCAGAAATTTCATTTAAGTAGAATATACTGAGAAGCTTAGCTAACCAACTTTGTTATGGCTAGCTAAGATGGTCTGAGGGGCTCCTTATTTGTCAGAATAGCCCTCAAGCAGACAGTTGCCCATCATTTGCCTCTTTCATGTTTTATTTTAATAGGGGATTCCAAAGAGGTTTATTTCCATGAATTACTGTTCTGAAGGATTTCCCTGGCATTCTGGAGGCTATGGAATGTTATAGAATTTGTTAAAGAAATAAAAATATCATTTTTTAAATTAAAAGCTTAATTGCTCTTGATCCCTAGATATATAGCAATCCTAGGTGTATGTTATGTTTGTATATAAGTATATACTGTGCTTGTTTTTTTGTTGTGTTTAGATAAATTGATTAACATAGCTATGATGTATCATAAATTTTCATCCTTTCTCTTTCCAACTTTCTTTCTGTCCTCTAGATTTAGACTTTCTTGTACCGAAGCCTAGATTCTTCTGTCCAATTTGTTCCCTCTTCTACTCCGGTGAAAAAGCAATGATAAATCACTGTAAGAGTGCACGTCATAAGCAAAATACAGAGGTAAATTTCTAACTCCCCATAAAATTTTCAGGTGATGGTATTATAGTCAAACTACCTAAGTGCCAACACAAAATGTACACTGAAGGTATACGCCAGTTGATTTCTCAAGTTTAGAAACCTGTTCCTTCTCATTCATTGTTCCTTGCCAATAACTTCTAGTCTGTCTTTCCTCCAGCAGCATTTGCCCGAGTGGATTCTGCAGATCACTAGTCCCATGTGACACTTCACTCATTAAGTGTAGGAAGTTGTATTCTGATGTGCTCTTGCAGAGTCATTGACACACAGCATATTAAAGTTTCCAAATTGTCTAGTTAGAAAGCACTGCTTAACTATTAGCCCATTTTCTAACCTGATTTAATCATATCCCCTTCCTTTTTCCCAAGTTATACACATCTTCAGGGAGTGCTATAGAGAATTATCATCAGCCAAGTAGCTCTAGTTTCTCCTGTTTGAAACAGAGTTGTTTTTATACATTTTCCATATTGTATTTGTGGCACAGACACTCACCTAACATTTATTAAGTTCTTACTTGCTGGGAACTTATTTAATCCCCTCTGATCAACTTTATGAGGTTGCTGCTATTATTCAATTTTAAAGATGAGGAAACAGTCTCAAAGAGTACCTAAACACGAGTAACCCCAAGATCATATAGCTAGTTAATGGCAGGCCTATGATGTGAACTAAGCTTTGTTTTACTCTAGACTTAAACCCTGAATTGCTATGTTTGAGGGATTTGTTTGTTTGTTTTAGCTCTTGGTTTATTTTTCATACACAAAAGACCTGTTGCTGCCTTTGCACCTTTACATTGCTGTTCCTTTGCTCTCTCCCAGTCCCACTTGTATTGCTGGTTGTTCCTCGTCTTTTAGGCTTTTACTTAAATATCAGCTTCCAGAAAAGCTTTTGCCCAAGAAAGAACGAGCTAAAGTAGAATGTTTTCTCCTCCACAAAAGTGTCAACCTTAAACAATTACCTTATTAATTTTTCCTTCATAGGGCTTACCACCGTCCAAAATTATTTATTTTTTATTGTTTTTCTTCCTCCACTAGAATGTAAGCTTTGTGAGGTGAAGGGCCTTACCTATTTTTTGACCACCAAGTCCCTAAGCACAAAGCATAATGCCTGGTAATCATTAATATCAGGTGACTGATAATGGGGAGGAATGTTAATGTAAGGCATTGTGTTTCAAACGTTTATTTTATAGAATCAGGCTCTTCATATTGTAAATACAGTGAAATAGATTAGGTTGGTTTGTATGCACAGCAAAACAACATCTAATAAATATTGTATGTTATAAATTGATTTTAACAGAAGTTCATGGCCAACCAAAGAACGGAAAAGGAGCAGAATGAGGTTGAAGAAAGAAGCTCAAGCTCTAGGTGATTGGAGAAAAATTTGTTAGAAATTTGTTTAGGGTCCAGTTGATTTGTGTATTTTTGTTATCATTAATTTGTAATTTTTATTTCAGAAGCAAATAATTCATGTTGTACAAATTTCTGATTGCCCTTGATGTAGAGAGACTGATGGGGAAAGTATGATGTGTTTGATTTTTATATCAAATCATCAGGCATGGAAAAATATCTTTTAGAAGTGTTAAATAAACGTTCCTGCTGTATATTTAAAATACCATCTTGTGTTTGTGTCTGATTTATTAAAGACTTGCTTACATCTGATTGCAGACAGGCTTCTTCTCTGTGACCATTATGGCTTGGAATGTTTGGGGATTCTTCATGTGTTAAAACCTTTCTCCAACTACCTATGTACAGGTCAAAGATTTCTTAAAACTCCCAATTTTGTTGGCTAAAATTAGTTTGCAGCATGTTTAACCCAGGTAGATTTGAGTAAAATTCTACTTGATTTTTTTTTTTTTTTTAATGTGGTGGGAAGATATTTTTTCTGCTTCTAAATGTATCTACTATTTCTTTCACAGCCACTTAAGGTAGCTCCTTACAGGTAATTTAATATTAGCCTGAATACACAAAGACAAGCAGCCTTTACTTCTATGCACCACTACTATCACTTTTTAAACACTTGAATTGTTACTGAATAGGTTTGTAAGGAATTATAAGGGTATAAAAAATAGTAATACACTGGGTGGTTAAATGCTGAATACAGCCCAGTACTATAAATTTTAGAATAGGCCATGCTTAAAGATAAGCCTGCTGACTGAATTATTTCAGTACCTGATTTTTTAACTCCTCCAAGATTAGAGTGCACCAATAATAGAGGGTGAGTGAAGGGGACAGATACTACATTTCTAGGTTTCTTTCTCATCACAGCACAAGAGTTGCCTCACAGTCTGCAAGAGTGGAGTGAAGTTGCTTACATTATAAAAGACAAGAGCTCAAATCAATTCATAGTTCAAGAAACTGGAAAAAGCCGAAACCGGTTTGGCTCAGTGGATAGAGCATCGGCTTGGGGACTGAAAGGTCCCAGGTTCGATTCCGGTCAAGGGCATGTACCTTGGTTGCGGGCATATCCCCAGTAGGGGGTGTGCAAGAGGCAGCTGATGGATGACTCTCTCTCATCGATGTTTCTCACTCTCTATCTCTCTCCCTTCCTCTCTGTACAAAATCAATAAAATATATTTAAAAAGAAAGAAACTGGAAAAAGAATAGCAAAACAAACCCAAAGCAACCAAAAGGAAGAAAATGATAAAAGCAGGAGTCATTGAAATTGAAAAGGGGGAAAATGAGATGGAAAAAAAGTAATGAAATATAAAGCTAGTCCCTTAAATCAATAAAATAGATAAATCTCTATCACTGTTAACAAAAAGACATAAATTACTAATATTCAGAATGAAGTGGAATATTACAACAAATTCTGCAGGATTAAAATAAAGAAATACTGTGTTTCCCCAAAAATAAAACATCCTCCGAAAATAAGACCTACTTACAGGTTTTCTTCTGAGTGAAATATAAGGCATCCCCTGAGAATAAGGCCCCCCTAGGCTCGGTCACAGAATGAAAATTAATTTACCATAAACTGGTTGCTATTGCTGCCCCGACTGGCATCTAGCAACCAGTGACGTTATGCAGAGTCCTGAAGTCACTGCTGTGTGGAGGCGAAGCGGAGGTTGGAGTGAGCAGTGAGCGAGGGGCGGGAGAAAGAAGGAGACTTTCGCTGATGCATGTAGAAGAACAGGAGGATTAGAGCAGAAGGGATGTGGCGAAGGTGGTGAGTGCTGGTCTGTCTCTGGTGACACTACCTGAAGCTCTCGGCCGCCCTCATGATGACTGAAGGTTCTCAGTCAGTGGCAGACCCTACCTCAGCCCAGATCCAGGCCCCAGCAAGCCCAGTGACAGCCCCAGGCAGGCCCCAGGGGGTAAATGTCTGATAAAGGGGTAGGGGGGAGGTCTGGTGAAGGTGTTCAGTGGCACAGGGGTGGGAGGAGGGGGATCACTTAAAATGACACAGGAGGATCAGAGGGGGCAATCAAAATGACACAGGAGGATCAAAAGGGGTTACTAAAATGGTAATGACCCCTCTGATTCTCCTGTGCCATTTTGATTCCCCCTTTTGATCCCCCCTGTGTCATTTTAAGTGATCCCCCTCCCCCCCACCTTGATACCCCAATTCCTTTTTTTTTTACCCCTAGAAATGAGCGCAAAAAGAAAAGGCTACTCTGTGGAGTACAAGAAAGGAATTGTGGAAGACTCTTGGGGCCAAAATCTTACTGCTTTCTGCAAAGAGAAGATATTGAGTATCCAATTGGTCCGAAAATGGCGAGCAGAGTATGGTAACCTCATTGAACAAGTGGACAAGGGAAATGCTAAAAAGCGCAAGTGTGGATCAAGTCGGCAACCATTATTTTCCAAGCTGGAAGACCTGATCTGTGAATGGGTTGTTGACAGGAGGTTAAGAATTCATGGTTGTGAATAGGGCTCAGATTCAAGAATTTGCCCTTGCAATGGCACCAGTTTGACATAGCCCCCGAAGACTTCAAAGCATCACAACACTGGCTGGATAATTTCCTTCAGCGAAGTGAACTGTCTTTAAGAAGATCTACCGGCCGAAACCGGTTTGGCTCAGTGGATAGAGCGTCGGCCTGCGGACTGAAGGGTCCCGGGTTCGATTCTGGTCAAGGGCATCTACCAGTACAACATTGTTTAGGTTGGAAGATACTCAAATTATTAAGCAAGCACTTGCATTCAAGTTTTTTATTGATGATGCTGACTTCTCTGAATACAATCTTTCCAACGTGATTATTATGGATGAAACTGCAATGTTTATGGGCCAATCATCTCAAACAACAATTCAACAGCAGAATGCCTCCTTAGAATACATTCCCTCCACTGCTTACGAAAGTGCATGTGTTTCCTGTATTTTGGCAATTCGTCTGGATGGCACTAAAATCCCACCTTTAATCATTTCTAAGGGCAAGAAGGAAAAGATTGAACGTGTTTTGGGTGTTTTTATTCTTGAAACTAAAAAAGCAGTTATATGGAAGTCGGTCGATTTAATGCTGCCGCTTGTTATGCGAGGGAGCCAAAGAGGTCTGCTAGTCTGGGATGCAGCCAGCACTCACTGCACTAAAGACATGAAGACATTTCTTCATGAAAGAAAAACAGATCAGATAATGATTCCCACAGGAATGATGGCCTATCTCCAGACTCTTGATATTGCAATAAACAAGCCATTCAAAGACAATTTGCGCATGGAAATTAATGACTACATTGAAAATAGAATGGAGAGAAATCAGCGTGGAAACTTTGTGAAACCTAAACTGCAAGAAGTTGTGACTTGGGTGAAGAATTCATGGGAGAAAATCACCGACAGTTGCATTGCAAATGCACTGCAAGCAGGCTACCTTGACAAGAAGTACTCATTTAAAGACAGTGCTATTGCTAAACATGAGAGATTTGGTCCACTGATTCTGAAAGAAATGGAGTCACAAGAAATTCACCAGGAAATTCAGGAATTGGATTGTTATGATGATGTTCCAGAAGATGATGACATGATTGTCATTGAATAAATGAGTAAATTCTTGATACTGTAGGATTCAGTGTTTGTCTGGTTTGTGTTGACAACTACCGTACTGTATACAGGTAATAAATTTCCTTTATTTTCATTTAACAATAAATGTGTACCATATTCTTCTTCATGGAAAAATAAGACATCCCCTGAAAATAAGACCTAGCACATCTTTGGGAGCAAAAATTAATATAAGACACTGTCTTATTTTCAGGGAAATAGGGTATTTACAACTCCGCTCAAAATCAACAATTTAGAAGAAATGGCCAATTACAAACCACAAAAACCAAGCCAAGATAAAGTTGAGAATCTAAATAAACCTGAATAATTGCAAGTTGAATTTATAATTAAAGTAATTTCAAAAAAGATACCTCCAAGCCAAGGTACATGCCCTTGACCGTAATCGAACCTGGGACCGTTCAGTCTGCAGGCCAACACTCTATCCACTGAGCCAAACCGGTTAGGGCAGATTCTAAGTTCAACTTCTGAGAGATGGGATTGTTCCTTAGATAAATCAAGACATTCACAGATGCTTGTCTTTGAGCTAGTCTCATAACTTCCCTTAATGTCCAGAGAGTGCAAGTCTGTCCTCACAACCTCAGCTAGCCTTTGCACTAGAATCATCATTCTAATTTTTCCTTCCCCTATAATACACACATAGAGCCTTTCTTGGATGAATCTTGACGAGGATTTCCATGCAAATGCATATTTTCTTAATCTGCAGTCTCTCTCCTGCTTTCTGGTTGTTATGCTTCCTTGAACAAGGATTATCTTTCATCACTTCTTTGGATTTTTATAAATATCCAGTTTGTTAAAACTTCAAATGCTTTTATTATAGTCTGAATGTTTGTGGCTCCTCAAATTCATATGTTGAAATCCTAACTCCTAAAGGTGATAGCAACAGGTATTAGTAGGTAGGGCCTTTGGTAGGTGCTTAAGTCATGAGGGTGAAAGCCTCATGAATGGGATGAGTGCCTTTTGAAAGAGGCTCCAGAGAGATTCTAGCCCTTCCCACTGCGTGAGGATGCAGTGAGAGGTCTGCAACCTGGAAGAGAGACCTCATTCAAACCATGCTGACATCCTGATCTCAGACTTCCAGCCTCCAGAGCTGTGAAAAATAAATGTTCATTGTTTATAAATCACACAGTCTAGGTTATTTTGTTACAGCAAAATACGTTCTAAGCTTAGCAACATTTTTATAGATGTCAGAGACCATGAATATCTGTGGCTTAATTTCTAAAGTTTTAATTCTTTGAAATACTAGTTACACATTCCAGTAATAATACTAATAATAATACCTAATATTTATTGAATGTTCACTATGCACCAGGCACATATAATGTGTGTCAAGCACTATTAGTGAGATTCCCTCAGAGAAACAGAACCAGTAGGATATAAATAAATGCAGAGGTTTATTATGAGGGATTGCTTTTGGATTATGGAGGCTGAGGAACCCCATGATCTGCTTCTGCAAGCTGGAGGCACAGAAAGCTGGTGGTAGTTCCAGTCCCAACCCAAAGGCCTGAGATCTAGGGGGGGATGGATGGAGTGGGGGAGTAGGTTGCTGATGGTGTCCTGGTCCGAGTTTGAAGGCCAGAGAACCAGGAGCACCAGTATTGTCTGATGGCAGGAGAAGATGGATGTCCCAGCAC